GTTCAGCAAATAAGTAAAAAGAAACATTGGATTTTGGAACAATAATACATTTGATTCACAAAAGTGTTTAAATCTAACTTTCAAAATTATTTTCCCTAGGAGAAAATACTTCTGTGATCCCCAGATACCATGCTATTTGTATTTGTTTACGGTGTTAATTAAGGGTTGCACGAATAATTTAACATGAACAAAGAACGTCTTCTCAATCACGCAGCGTCTGTAAAAAGCATGCAAGTGGCTGCACTGTGGCCACTGCAGAGTCTAATGAGCTGATAGTGACCTCTACTGGATATCTCTCCTGGTGAATGTAGAGAATATAATCTCAGCGGCACGCAAAGCCGTGTACAACCTTATAATTATTATATTGCTCGGTAGAATTATATTATAATCCATATATAAAATACTTTGTACTTGTTTTTGTTGATCGTATTGATTTTACAAAATTATTTCACATTCATGATACGGAGTTGTAATCAGACTAGACGTTTCTCTCTACCGTGTTTTTTTATCTTGATTATTATTTTTTGGTTCAACTTCCATCTATTTGGTTTATTTTTTTTTCAACTGGTTCAACTTCCATCTATTTGGTTTATCTACACTTACAACATAATACAGACCCTGTTCCGGGTGCTGTTGACAAAAATGTTTGGTAGAGAAGTAATAATGTTACACAACAAGTTATTATTATTATAATTATTATATTTGCTATTATGTGTTTGTGTGATTGTAGTGATGTATTTTCAGCAACTGTGATTAAAAAAGATGCTGTTTTGTTTTGTGTACAATCTGTTTACTGTCCCACAGTGTGAAAGTTTTGAAATCATAGTCTAGTTCTTAGATATTTCCTGTATATTTCCTGTATTCCTTGTTATTGCTGTAGTCTTCCTAGCTTAATCAGTTTGGGGAACTGGTGTTGACCTCTGTCCCATTCAAATATACCAATCTCAAATAACTCAAATATCAAACCAATATCAAAACTCAAACACAAGCCTTCATGCAAAAACATACACACATACTTATACAACCATTTGAGGTCAATCTCACTCAGTTCAATTAACATACAGGGTCCCAGAGTCTGAATTATTTAGCATTGAATATTTAATACATAATAACAATGGAGCTCAAGGGAGATCAAGCCTGGTCAATTAAGATGGAAGGGTTGGAGGCAGGAGAGCTGCTGTTGATCTGATCTGTGTCTCATCATTATCTCTGAACATCAAGCACAATTAGTGTAACTGTTTTCTTCTCAGCACTTCAAACAAAGGCCAACCCCCTCTGACTCTAACAATGTTCATCCCCTTTATTATTATTTTTTTAATTAATAATATTACTTTTATTGTAACCTTTATCATTGTCTGTTTGAATACAAACATTTCTTTCAAATCATTTCTCATGTGAAACTGCTGTCCAGGAATATTTGAATCCCTACAACAGGGTCCTAGAGTTGCACGTTGCTTAAAAATAAAAATAAAAATGGATCATTCCAAATATATTAAAACAGGCTTGTAATTATCAGATGGAGGGTTTAAAATGAAAGTTTGATTACTACTTAAGATTACTAAGTATTACGAATGAAGTAGAAGTTTGGTGGCAAATAATGTGTAACATTGGTCAGTGAAAGCCGCACATTATGGAACACAGAAGGCACACGGTGTTCATTGGACATCTAGCAGAGACCTTGTCACCACATGCTTATTATATGTGTAAAGGTCGTCACGGGATTTTACCAACTCTCTTATGTATGCCTTCCTCATTTGTTTCAGGGCCTGGATCAAGGCATAGCTGATGTCAGTGACAGTCTTCAGTGTTATGTGAAGGACGTCAGATTAGTACTTACATTATGAGACATTAGTGCTCCATTTTATTTCAAAAAATGATCTATTTGTAATTAATTTAGTGCTACTATCACTAATAGCTACAGATCTGCAGCCAATCAGCTGTCTTGTAGGTTTTAAAGTTTCCCTCATTTCTATCTTTGAATGTCAACATAAAGCCAATCACACAAAATATAATTAGATTTCTAATTATGTAACCCTATATTTAATATATAAGTATCTATTTAACTATTAAAAGTATCAATCATTAGTCCTGCAGGGAAATTGTTTAAATTATTTTAGGCATCAATTGTGATTTAAACCAGAAGTTTAAGTTTATTTTAATTGCTTGTCTAATTTTACGTGGCCACATATAAGACTTTTCTATTATTTTTGGTTCATTTTGTTCACATAGCAATTTGTAATAAATGAAACAAACATGCCATAGTGCTGGAACCACAAGCCCGTTCACTTACAGGACATTGAAGAAAGCTAAAGGAGCTAATGCTAAATGTTCACTGACTGAGGACTTTTAGAACAGACTACACGGTGTTTTCTTTTACAGAACACGAAGCCAAAATAAATTTAAAATACATAAATAAAGACATCGGCCTTACGCCATGTTTGAATACAAACAGTATAATGTAACGTCAAGTGACTGCCGTGTAACTTCACATTGCACTGAAAGTCGAACCCGTGTCGTATTGGTACACAATTACTTGCAAATGACACGATAACCTTTTAATTTCTATCAATTCAATGTTGCGTAAGGAAAATGCTGATGTAATTTAATCCAGTTACGTTGTATTTACCTTTACTTTGGCGAACAGCTTTGGTCGTCCTCCAGGTGATGAAACCTCGGATGCATTTCCTCATTTCATCGCAATTGTTATGGCATGCTCTAAATGGTGGTCAGCCGTCTTCCCCGAAACCCTGGTCACTTCTTCTGTAGCCAAAATATTCCACACGGCGGGTTTAGTGCGCTTTTTCGAGGAAATAACGTCAGCCATTTTCCCTCACTTGGGTACACCGCTCTCCTGCAACTTGGGAAACGCATGGGTGTTGTGTAACTTTGTTTTCGTTCCGTTTGAGTTGCGCTTAGCTTTAGTTCCGGCTTATTTTTTTCTGACGGTATTTAAAAAAGTAACCGTAGCGTTTAACGCCGCAATCAATTGTAATATCAAGTAATCGTGACATCACTAAGGTGATGAAATATTGAATGACATTGTCAGACATAACAAGAAATAATATCAAGGTGATTGTGTACAGGTCTACATTCTTCATCATGCTTTAAAATGTTAGCCAAATGCTGTAGTATAAAAGGTTAGCTAGGCCAGGCTTAGAGGCATCTGAAGGCCACAATCAGTAACCTCTAAAAAAGTCAGGACTTTTCTTGTTTTTGGCCACAAGATGGTGCAAAGGGTCCAGAAGATACGGAGTATAAAGCAGATGATCAGCTCTCTGCATATGCATCCTATAACATAAAAATGTATACATTTAAGTCTAAGATCTGAGGCTGAGATAGATTTTAGCATTATTATCGAAGGCTGCCGCCAATGGACATGATAGTGGTAGCAGTAATACTACAGAACAGTAGTTCAAGGTTTAAACACTGAACATTATATTAAACACTAAGGGGAAAAAACGGAAAAAACTCAATTATGTCGTATGCTAATTGTATTGATTGAGAAATTGGACATAGTAATACTGCAACGTAAAGCTAGTTTATAGTAACACATACTGTAAGCATCCCTCCAACCCTCTGAGGTATATTATTATATAGGTTAAAGGTATTTATCAAGGATTTGTTACCACATCATTACTCTGTGCATCACCTCCTGCTGTTCCTCACAATTGCCTAGATGAGAACTTGCCAACTCATAATAAAAAATTGGCCCATTCCCATGTATAAATCCATTCAGCAGACAAGCTGGTGCAGTCTCGTGGCTTGTGCTAGACGATAAATCCATCAGGATGTAATGGATTTCCGCCTGGGCAAAAGAGAAAAGTAACTGGGCAAAAGATTTGGTCTTTAATTTCATTAGTCTCTTCACTGAGAGAAGGTGGACAGTACAGACCGTTTAATACATTAATATTACACATTGGATATAGTGCCAATATGGTGCATCTTTCAAATGGCAGTAATAATACATATAGTTAAAAAATAAATAGATGGTTTTTTAATTGTGGGAAAGGGAAAAGAGAAAGGAATCTGACGAATTCAAGACAATTACACTGTTATGGAACCTGAAAATTCAACAGAGGTTTTCCTCTTTGAAATCAATTTTAAAAAATCACAATAATAACATCAAGCAAGGTTTAGGTTTGACTTGACTGCCAAAAACCTTCAGAGATGCTTCCTAGGATAGTGGTCCCAGCATTCCATTAAGTTCTCACATACATGCACAGTGGCGATGTATGGAAATAATCTGTGTAGCTATCTGATTCCAAACTACAGTGTTACACAGACAAAAGATCGAAAGTGCTGTGGTACAATAATCCACCAGGAGTCTGGTTGCAGGCCAGATTCAGTGATGTTGTCACTTGTAGTTTTTGCTTTCTTATGTGGCTAATAACATGCAGAAACGTGAATAAATAATAGACAAGAAGCTGTTTGTGACCTGGTGGGAAAAACATGCTTCAGAATAACGTACATGCTTAAGTGGAGGATGTTGAAAAAAGGCTTTGTAAGATTAACAATTAACGATTTTAAAAAAAAAATTAACTGTTTGACTCTCCCTTGTATTAAGCTTCTTTTGTTTTGTTGTCAGAAAACAGCTAAACAGGAAATACACTTCGTTATAGAACACAACTATAGCCCAGACCAATGAAACAATAAACGCTGGAGCGTTTTTGTTTTTTTGTTTAAAAAAAACCCCAAACAGGAAGTTGACTATTTTGAGTTTGATATCATTCCTCCAAAATATTTGCACATCTGCTCCTACGTATTTATGAACTGTGGCGCTGTCTCACTGTTAGTTCCATTTTCATAATCTAAAATGTGTTTAGCTGAATTTCTGTGTCGTCACTGACTGATTTAAGCAAAAGGGACAAACGAGGGAGAAAAAAGGTGGAGACAAAGGCGAGTAGACTCTGGCAGAGAGCGAGGTTGTTGTCAAGAGGAAATGGAATGCGGCTCTAGCTGGGCTGTAACTCCCTCTCTGTGTGTCCCGTAGCCTCTTCTTCAACATCAGCCTTCTTCACACTCTACATCCCGTCTACAGCCGGGACTCCTGGCTCTGCTCCACTCCCCGCAGAGGATCGTTGACTCGATATGCGAACAGCAACACGGCTGACTCCGTGAACGACTGACGATGGCTTCGGTGCGGATGGTTTGTAAAGTTATGGCGAGACTTTCGGGAAGTGTTCAGCCTCGTCACTGCGGTCCGTCGGTATGTGCTCGAACCGTCACATTTCTCCAGCAGGTAATGAAACGACACCCGTGTCATCAGCATTGTTTAACGTAGCTGCTTTTTTTCACATTACTTCCTACGTTTTTAAAATTAGAAATGGACAAGTTTAACCACTTAGACTCCATTTTCTTTTTTTAAACAAGCTGCCTATTTGTTTTTGTTTTTACCTTATTTGTTCAGATATTAACTTCAGAAACAAAGCTTGTATGTGTTTCTGTGTATGTGTGTGATGTTAACTGATGTTCTCTGTTTGTCGGTTTGTGTGTTTCACTGTACGGTAGCTCTTCTTCACACAGTAGACCTGCGGTTCTGTGGCTAACATTGTTCCAGTACATTACTTTGGTCCACAGGGGGCAGGGCGGTATCTAAACATGTCCTCTTGACTGATCATGCCCAACAGCCTTGAAAAGTGTGCAGAAGTCGTTCTACAGATCATCATCCCATCACTAACGCAGGCCTCATTGAATTACTCCCCCTGGTGAAGCTGCTCACTCAGGCTGTGCTGTTAAAGGGACCGTGCATATGGCCGAACACGAGGAAAGAGATATTAGGGACACACTTCATGAAGAAGATAACAAGGAAGTAACGATTCAGATATATCTATCTACTGTAAAAGCATTTTTGAACACATTATTATTGAACATCAAATGAAGGTGTTTACTGTTTGTATTGCTGAGCATTTATTCAGTGTATCTTAGGGAGGAGAGTATGCAGTACTGTGAGGCTAATGTGAGGTTTTTTCCTCCCCTGTCTGTCCCCTGGAAAAATAATTTTCCAGATGAATAATGATACATTTAGTTTGTGTTTTAGACAGCAGTCAATCATCATCTGTCGTAATTGTATGATTGACATCTAATTATAGCTCCTCAGTTTGGGCAATTTGGATTTTTCGGACCAAGTCAGGTGGAAATTTACTCACAGGATATAGTCATAACATTATAACCACCTGTCTAACACTTTCAGACCCACAGAATGTATACTTATACTTATACTTTATAACATGATAACTTTATTTTACAGTCAGCATTGACAACTTCAGCAATTTGCGCTGAGCTTGTGGATTTTAGCTTGTCTGTTGGGTTGGACCACACTGACTGGTCCCAGGCTTACTGCTGCTCCTTTCTTGGACCACTTTTAATAGATCCTGACAACTGTCCACCTTCATTCATCTCCTTTAAATGCGTTTACCACAGTCATTTCCATTCTTATAGCAAAATCAACAACCGTTTTCCCTTCTGCACCAAGCAGCACCCCCTCATCACTACTGTGAACTTAACCAACATTACTGATACTACTGGCAGTTCTGTACCTCGGGGAAATATAACATACAGAGAAACCTTCACTGTGATGTATCACCATCATGAAGGGGTTGTAGAGTTGCTTTGGTTGCCTGTGCACGTTGAATTGAGTGTAGGAAGATTGAAGACTGTTGGAGGCAGTTCAGGGAAAAGCTGTTTTAAAGTGCACTTGAAAATAATAAAATGCATACATTCAGTGCAGACTGTAGCCATGATTTTCAGCAGCAACTAGCCAGTTGGCACAAATGTTCAGTTTTGCATGGTACAAATACTGTGAGGTACTTGAAAACATGAGCACTATTTCTTTCTTTCAAAATATGTTTTTCTCCTGTATGATTTACCACGGTGCCTGGTTGGCTAATGGAAATCTAATATTTTTTACCTCTACAAACTATAAGGACAATATAAACATGATACATTTTTTAAAGGCTGTGCCAGTGTCTGGTGTGTGTGTGCACAGTTTAATTGTCTTGTGAAGATAGTGTATAGATGTGTAACTGAGCATTTCATCTGTTGCACACAGATGAAATGTGCACACATGCAGTGTCCTGCTCTAACCCCCCGCCCTTGTATTAGGATTATACACTAAGTACACATCTCTACACTGAGTGAGTTTCACTTTTGTATATAGAAGAAAACAAAACAATACAGTTTGACTGCAAGTGGTCATGACTTGAATGACTAAAATGCATGAGATTCACAAAGTACATCAGTTCTGTAGTCATGTTGTACCAGATATAACTGCTGTACCACACTGAAAATTTATTAAATACTTTCCATCTGAATTTTCAAGAAACCTGTCCTACAGTGCATGTATATTGTAATTACAAATACTTGGTCGTGCTGCTGCACAGGTTACTGCGGTGATAGAAGTGTGAGATTCATTTAGATGATGACTCTGTTGGGTTTCGTCAAGACTTTTAAATTGTTTCCACTTTTTCAGCACTCCTTTGGGTGAAGTGTGTGAAGTCCATTATCACCAAGGGCTTGTGTGAGTGGCTCTATAAGAGGACAATAAACCAGAATTATCTGAACCCTCTCTCAGTCTTTTAGTGTCCTCTGTGCTGTAGGTTTTAAGGTCAAAGACGCAGCTGTTAGATTGACACACTAAGTTTGTTTGTTGTCTTCCTTTGCCTCTTTGGGAACTGCTGACACAAGACACAAGAGATGCACCAAAGACCAGCCTCAATCATCTTGGAGGTCAGCAGACGATTTATCCAAATGATCTTAATCACCTCATAAAATGGGTGATAACGTTATACTGTGCTGAAGTAATATTTACACAAGAATACATCAAGCTGCCCATCAAAAGTCACATTAAAAAAATAACTACAAAGTGACTGTGTGGTGTGATGGAATTCCATTTATGTAATCTGGAGTGCCTACATGTTCAGAGGATGAAACTGTCACAAAACCAAATGTAAAAAAAATTCACATGAATTGTGAGCATCTGACTGGGAGCTGATAGAACAACTGATTGCCGTGTTCTCTCCATTAACACAAGCTATGAAATTAAAGTATGATGAGTTACATGATTGGACGTGTGTGTCTCTCTAGTTTCTCCTCTGTCGATGGGATGACATCACTAAACAACTTGTCCACTTGACTTAAACTTTACTGTCAACGTGAAAAAAAATCAGCAGTCATCAATCCCCTAATATACACTCTGAGGCTTTGCAATATTTTTTACCATTAAGGCTAACCTATGTATTTTAATGACAAAAACTGCAGTACTTCAACAATTAATACCATGGGAAATCATGTTTAGATCAGAAGCTCCTGCTGATCCTGCTTTGCTTTAAAACATGCGGTCTTTACCCAGTCGGGAGCTTTATACACGGTGCCTTCCTTAATCTTTTCACTTTTACATTTGCTTGTATGAAGTAATGGCTTTTCTGAAATAGAGACATCTCAGCGTTGCAGAAACACTAAATCCCTTTATCTGACAGTTGCTTTCTTCTGCCTTCTCTAATTTTTTTTTTCCTTAAGTGGACCTGGCTCCCTCACCTGGCTGTGTACCTCTCAGCAACAACTAAAATGCAGTGTTTGCAAGAATACCGTAAATCAACTAGAACCTATGTGTTGCATTAGTTATAAGACAAGCTTTTGATTGATGTCACATTTTGTATTTTTCTTTCGTTCAAAAGCAATTACCCCACATCTCACCGTCTAGCAGTGAGTATGGGGCAGTTTTAAATCTAGCATTATCCTGCAAAAGGCTGAAGCATTTACATTTAGTCTACTCTCAGACCATGCAGTGTCGCATACTGTAAGTGACCGCTGTCAGTCACGTCATCTCAGATTATAGATTGTAGTAAAAGCACAAGTACAAAAGTCCAGTACAAATGCCTTTGTCTCCTTAGAGACACGTCCAAATGTATTCTAACCTGATAGGAAAGGACCTAATGTTAAAAACCTGAACAGGGGCAGATTAAGGCAGTCAAACTTTATCCACAAAGAGACGTTGCTTGTTTAAATATTAAGGTCTTAAAAACACCACAGTAACTCATTAAAAGAACATGACCCACAGAATTGTAGCGAAGCTGTACCAGGGACTGGGTCACACATTTGGTGGGCCAACTGCCTAAAGAAAAGGTTTTTCAATTTAAAGTCCCCCACTTTTAGTTTCAATCAAACTTGGGTGCCTAGCGTCTTGTTGTGGACTTGTAATCACATGTTGTCTGTTTTTGGACCAAAAGGGAAAATGATTCATTCTCCTAAACTCAAGAAGCGGCAAGAATGCTGTGGGAACAGTTGTTTGTACTCAATGATTCAGTCTGTGGAACTTGCTGGCTTCTCCCTTGCTGTGGATTGTATCTCGCTGAGTCATTCTTCCTCTTTATGTTTGTAAAGGGAGGAGATTCTGCTAGCACTGATGCTGTAGCTGACTTTGTCTGACTGGCAATGCATCCCCCCATTTAAGAAAGTTGGTACAATTTATACAATTCAGCGTGGGAAACTAAAAGACCATTCGTCTGTCACTACACCACAATTAAAATAGATGTAGAAAGTCAGTAGTAATCTGTTCATAAGACCAACAGCAGGATCCACTGCTGATTGTGCACAATCTTACAGCCATTGGTTGGTGTCGCTTTAAAATCCACTTTGCTAAAGTGATTACCGTAGCCAAATGGGCACCATTTTAGTAATGTCCACTTAACAAAAAAACACTACCGCATCAGAAAACCTTCCGTGAGTGTGTGTGATGCATTTGGGGCAGAACACTGGTCTCCGGAAGTTCTCTGCACCCAAGCTCATCTCAGATAAAACTGAAGACACTAAAAACATCCCCTGTTGGCAGATGTGTTTTTGTTCAAGCCTGTCCAGAAGTAAATTAAAATAAAAAAACTTCAGAGTTTTTTGTTGGACATTAAGTGGGGAAAAAAACGGTGTTACAAGGTCTTGTTAATGAAACTTAATTAACTCTGACAGACCTTGTGATTAACCTGCCGACCTGAAGGCTAAGTCTGTCATCTGGTGAAATAAAAGGCACATTAATTATTGTAACTGTCTCTCAACTCTGCCAAGTCCACTTCTATCTCCTGTCATGGAAACACTGGCTTCTGTCTCCAAACCATACATCATAGCAGGTCTCACTACTATCCTATAAACCATGTCCTTCAAACTAGTTCTATCCTTGTGTCCTGCATCACCCCTGGCACTCCATTGGTCTGTTATCAAGATAAGCTGCAGTCAGAATCACATACACCAAACAGACACCATCATTAACTACACCAAAAAAAAATCATCATGAATTATCATCACCATCATTAACTACACCAAAAAAAAATCAATGGTTGTTGCTAGCAGGGCTAGCAGCTCTCAATTATAAAGTCAACTGGGAATAATTCAATTTAGCTTTTTGACAGCCTTAATTTATCACTCTAGCCCTTAGGCTAACTCATAGTTCTCTTTTCCTTCTGTTTCAAGACAAAATTACATTACAGTCTAATACACCGTGAAGAGTTATAATGGAACAACACCCAGAAAATTCACATTCAAAGATTAGGTGAAACCAAGCTGATGTGAAGTAGTGAGAGCAGGAGGGGGAGCAGAAGGAGGACATAAGTTCAACCAGCCGTAGTGGAGTTGTGACAGGGTTAATAATGAAGTGACCTGCTGTTAGCAGACTACCAGCAAAACAAATCCTGATCATTGATTAAGCAGAAATCCAAAACCTGCTTCACCCCAAAAATCACTTTATTTTTTCTCACCCTATCCTTTCCTTTTTCACTCCTCCTTTGTCCCGAAAGGAACAAAAGACATAAAAAGATCTGCTGGGGACAATTATAGCTGCTGGTGTGGAGCAATATACCATACAGTTCCACATTCATTCTAACAGCGAATGGAAAGGACAGCTGATGGACAACACTCCCCTCCCCCTTGCCCCATGCATTGATTTCTTAAGTAATTGGAAAGTCAATTTTATTTTAATGGGCAGTCACATGATTAGTGGGACAGCCAATGGTGAAGGTTCCCATCAAGAGGGAACACATTAAATTCCTGCAGTATATACAAGGTTGAGTCTAAGCTGGTTCAGGAGGACAGAAGGAAAGGTGTGACGTCGACATCATTTCCTCTCAGTGTTTACTACAACAATAATATTCTGTGGCTATGACGGGCACAGACGTTTGAGGATCACAGAGGCAATCCCACAGAGCCAGGAGTACAGCTGTGGAAAGGAAGTGTAATCTGTCTCATGGCTCCTCAGCAGAATTGTCTGCCACACTAGCTGCGTTTGGTTGATTTATTATGGGATGGGAATGGGTGCACATACTCTATGTAAACCGCCTGAAGCAGTCAATTGTTGATTTGACTTCAGCCAGTGCACTTCAGTCACACACCCACGCACAAGAGCACACACACACACACACACACACACACACAGTCTGTCAACAGACAAATGGCATGACTTTGCCCCTTAGCTGCAGAGACACTTCTTCATATTAGCTATGCAGCACAGTACAAATGTCATTTGCTAATGAGTGTGCGGGTAAATATGCATATAAAATCATTTTTTAAATGTTTTCTCACCTTTGGCTTTTGAAACACTTTAATTATTAAAGCAGTATAAAGCACCTGGCGGGACATGCACCGTAAGATGCTGTTGGAGGCCATCGCAGTGTGTGAATGTGTGTGATGTTTGTGGTAGCTGTTAGTAGTTAGAAAATACAAAGGGGTTTACAGAGAGCACAGATAAATTACTGTTGGTGATGCAATAAACACAATGAGAGAGTGCAGCTTTGTTAACTGGTTCATATTGTTGTTTCAGGTTTATGACTAAGATTTCTCTCTATTTTTAAGGAGTGGGATTCTGCAGTGGTCTGGGTTTACACCTCAATAAGATGGAAAACCACATGAGACGCATTACCAAAATGAAAGCTTCAGCCTTCAGCCCCTTGTTGTCTCTTTAATACACTTCTGTACTTCTCCTAAAGCCCACTGCTCTGCTTTATCTTATTGGTCTGTATGAGAAAATCAAACGTGTGGCTGAAACAGAAACTGACAAAATAACCATAACAACAAAGGAAAGGAAAGTGAACTCCTTGTCATTGTGACATTGCGACACACATCACTGCACACAACCAAATGTGACCTCTGCATTTAACCCATCACCAAAGTGAACAGTGGGCAGCTTTTTGAGCGCCCGGGGAGCAGTGTGTGGGGACGGTGTCATGTTCAGAGCACCTCAGTGGTAACTTGGCAGCTGGTGGATTCGAACCTGCAACATTCCGGACCACCACTAAGCCACCACTGCCCCAAGGTTACTTCGTTTAGGCTGCAAAACAGAAACACGGAAGACTGAACCGTTTTCATACAACTTAGGTTAGCATGTCTTTGGGCCTGACACAAGTGAAGCTAGGTCAAGAAGTTCTAAGACCAACAGGAAAAAGAAATCTCTACCATCATCTATGTACGTCTAGATGTTAATGTTAACAATTTTAACCTGTTCAAACTCAATCACTCAACGGACTAACATTTCAAACCAGTCTAAGTTGTGGGCTGAACAGAATTAAGTTTCTAGAACACTCTGGAACTGACAATGATTTACTGTTCCAGAAATTAAGAACTTGAATAGACCTCATTAAAATAGGTAAAAACATTAAATTCAAAATACCATAAGCACAATAAGAATATTGTTACACATATAATGTAGGATATGTCTCAAAATAAAATAAAAAATAAAAAAAAGTTTATGCTAACTCTACGTGTGTAGTCCATGCACACACACGGAGATCATATTTGACTATAGTAGTAAAGCATGTTTTTGGCCTAATATAAGTTAATTGAGTTAAACGTTCTTCTTTATGGCATATTTTATGGGTTGTTAAGCAGAATAGCATATAGACTCTTGGGGTTCTTTTAAACATTCTCCTTGTTTTTGTTGTTCCTGCTCTCAGTCGATTTGCTCTTTCTTCCATGATGTAGTTTGTTCTCAATAATGTTCCTACTCTGAACTACGGAACCATGAACAATTGAACAGCTGGCTCCTATTTTAATAACTGTGCCGTCAGACTGATAGGCTCTTTTGTACTTTCTGTTAGATACAAATTTGTATTTATTTAACACAATGGGATTTAAAATGTGTTCTCACTGTGAACACAGGCAGGTGTCCTGAAGACAAGCCTGTTGTTAGGTTTCAAATGGACTCGGATCAAATCTGGGAAATGTTATATTTACTCTGCTGTAAGTGGGTGTGATATGACCATAGTAAAGGTGTGTGGCCCAGTGTAGTGCAAAAATATATATGCTACATATACATCACACCCCAGTGACTGCAGATGTTCACTCCAAAAGTGAATTTGCATGTAAAGTGAGGGGCCAACACCAGTGGAATACTAAGCAGTGTTAGTTGTGGCTGAGTGTTCTATTATCAACCAAAGACAGACATGAGGACTTGGAGAGATAGTACTTTGTATTTTGAGATCCACCAGCATTTCATCATGCGTGAAACACCAAGGCCTGACTTTAAATGGAAACCAGTGAAGC